TTTTTTGTCAATGTGCTGTTTGTCACTGAAAAGTTTTAAAAATAATTCAAGCTCTTGATCATCTATGAAATGTTGTTAAGGAAATCCCCAAACAAAGAGATTTCATGAGTTAAACACCACAATCAGCCTGGGAGATTCTTCATATAGAGGCTCCAAGAAATTGATATTAATTAATATGTCCCAAAATATTCCACAACTCAGCATCTTATTCTTCCAGAGAAATACACCCACAAAATAATTCACACAATTTCAAATATAATTGGTTGGATATTTAGGGGTGGAAGCTAAGAATGGGATTGAGATATTCAGTAAAGGTTTTATAGATTTCTTTGTTGTGGAAGAAGGGAACATTTTTGGGTATAAGTAGACTTTAATTCCTTTTTTCTGATTGGATAAGAAGGGGATAATCCAAGACAATGATGTTCCTTTTCATAAAATTTTCCAAGGATTTTTGGGGCAAGTTCTTTTGTGATGTGAGTCTCCTGAAGCCCAGAACTGGTGTACAAGGGGTAGTTTATTATTTTAATATTTTAATAGTGTGCACTGCAGTCCCCAACAAATGTATTTTCATTACATTCTGTCATTCTCAAAAACACTTGAATAACACCCCCCTCCCCCCTCTCACACACACACAATAATTGTTTCCATAACAAATGAAAAATGAATACAGCATGCCATAAATCTTAGATGGATATCCCCCAAAACACATTGATTGGACCCTTGACATATGCCTCAGGAGGACAGTAAAAAGATCAACTCAGAAACAATTGTCCATTTACAATTGCTCTGGAAAAATATTCTTGCTTTCCACCCAGAATTATTTTCCCCAGATGTCAGAAACTCTATTGAATTTTTCACTGCATTGTATGAATTTCTTTTTGTTAAAACTGGACAGGAAAACAAATTTCCAAAGGGTAATGAATCTCTGCTGAATCCATTGATTTATAGAGGTGTTGGAATTCGTTTTTGAAGCTTTTTCATTTTTGTATGAGTGAGTCCAAAATATTTCAAAAATGCCTTCATGATAAGAAGGTAATGCTGAACTACTGTTATATAGTTTTTGAATAAATAATTGATTTATGCCAGCTTATTGAGACATGAATTTAAAATTTATATTTTGTGTACATGGAACTTTTCTTGGAACAAAGAGTGTCTTAGATTTCATTCAGCAGAAATCAGTCTGGTGAAAAGAAAATTCAGTCAAATTTCAACAGGATATGCAGATTATTTCCTTGCAACCTTCTGAAAAATAAATGGTGCATGCATGATGGTCAAAAAGAGTTATTCATGCGGAAATGCAGGGAATCTGTTAATAAAAAGAAGCCTTCTTAGAAATTACCCATTACTTATAGATGAAATCTGATGTAAATACATACACTTTCTTTCCCTTTCCAATAACTAAAAGAGAGCATCATTGATAAAAACAATTGCAGCATAAGGCAATTATCTAACCCACACCGCATTAGATTGAAAGGTGTTGTTACCCTGCTCCCAGATAAGTTTTAGTTGATTAAAAAGTTTGGAGAGAATATGTGATGATCAATTATTTAAAGTTAATAGCTTATCTTGGTCTTATATGCTTTTGGGAAGAGTCTTTCCATTAAATTTTGAGAGTCCCAACTCTTTTTCAAGCTTATTTCTGTAGCTGTGGAATGCTGGACACAAGGAAAGAAGGTGCTGTGGTGATGCATTGACCAATGTATTTATAATGCAGATATTACACCACTTAGGCACCTTAGAAAATTTGATGATTTTTTTTTATTAAAATGCGTTCATTAAATCCATCAAGAAAAACATCCTTACTCAAAGTCAATCAAGCATCATATTTCTTTTGGGGAAATAAAAAGTAAGTCTTTGAGTTCTCAGAGCAGTCAAAAGTCGACAATGATGCATAAAGCTTTGCCAAAGATTTTGCAGAGAAGCATAATAATACATTCTGTATAGTGGTAAAAATAAGTTTAAAAATGCTGTTTACCCAATTTTTTTGAAAGCTCAAATTTTTTTTGAAAATTGGAAACATGGTTTAGAAGCAAAAAACGCAGCAAGGCTTAAACTCAAGAATTATTTTCGACATTTACTTTTGAATATGCATTTTTACGGTCATCCACAATTTTTTTTTTTTCAAGTATTTATAGTAGCAATGTTTTGAGCCTTTTAAACGTATTTTTCAACTCATGAACAGCAGCAGCGCATTTAAAATAATAATTTTCCGTGCGTCTGGGTATTGAATTCTTTCTCTATTTTTTTCTCCTAAATTTGTGCCAATCCAGCAAATAAAATGATAGATTACGTTTGTCTCCAGGGAAGACATTCGCCAATGTCACATTCGATGGCGTCAAAGAAAAAGGGGTTGCGGCTCCACGCCGGAAGTTGAAGCGACTGGACTCGGAATACGAGCCCAGTTTCGGGTCCAAAGAGTATTTCCGCCGGAAAATGGGTTCCTGTTGCACCCAAAAGACCCTGCGCCGGAAGGTACCCGTGATTTCCTGGCTGCCCAAGTATACCAGCGTGGATTTCATCGGGGATCTTATTGCTGGCATCACAGTTGGCTTCACCATCATCCCCCAGGGCATTGCCTTTGCTGAGCTGGCCAATCTCCCTGCTCAGGTCATTTTATTCTCATTATTATCCCTCATCTGGTCATTTTTTACAATTTGTTTTTATATAGCTAAAACATACTTATTTAAGACAAGGAAATATTTTTTCTGAATACCTAATTGTTGGGGAAAAAAATCAGGATTTTTTTACATAGGAACAGTCCACCCCCACCCAACTGAGTTAATTTGTGCAACCAACCAGTCTGCTGTGTAAAAAGTCTGTTATGCAAATTCAATTATTTAAAATTTTAAATTTTCAATTTTTACCATACATTTTAAACCACCAGGAGTCTATTATTTAGATTCAGTCTGTTTTGCAGGAGGGAAACTGCATACAGAGGTGGTCTGTAGTGAAAAAATCCGTCTGTTGTGCAGAGGTTGACTGTATATACTAATTTTATTGAATTTTAATATTTTATACTAATTTTATTGCATTTTAATATTTTATACTAATTTTATTGCATTTTAATATTTTATACTAATTTTATTGCATTTTAATGTTTTATAATAATTTTATTTCATTTTAATATTTTATACTAATTTTATTGCATTTTAATATTTTATACTAATTTTATTGCATTTTAATATTTTATACTAATTTTATTGCATTTTAATATTTTATACTAATTTTATTGCATTTCAATATTTTATACTAATTTTATTGCATTTCAATATTTTATACTAATTTTATTGCATTTTAATATTTTATACTAATTTTTGCTTAGCTAAAATAAAACAGAATAAACTTGCAAATGTGGAAGAAAGGAAATGAATATTTTCAAGAAAACCTACAATGCTTAGAGACATAATTTAGAGAAGATAATTGCCCTAATCAGTTTGAAAATTTTTATGACCAATCATAGGTGTGTAATTGTATCATTGTGAATCAATTTGTGGTGATGTCCTTGTGAAATTTTTACTGTCTCAAAGAATCCTTGTTTCAAATTATGCATGAAAACTGTGAGATGCTTTGGTTGGATAAATATGTGATGCTTATAATAATTTGAATCACTGTTTACAAAGAAGGAAACTTTACTATGTGAATAAATTTAACTAAGGGTGCAACATTCATTGAAGATTTTTGGTGAATAATCTGATTTATCTCAACAGTATGGTTTGTATGCTGGCTACCTTGGCTCCCTGATATACATCTTACTTGGAACTACAAAGGAAATCACTATTGGACCTGCAGCTGTCATCTGTATCCTGCTTGGTGGTGCCACCTATGATAACTCTACAACATTCAACCTCACATTTGTTACCATCCTCTGCATGATATCAGGCTGCTTCTCTTTACTGATGGGCCTCCTGAAACTTGGTATTTATTCATGTCTCTCAAGCTTTCCTCATCATTGAAAGAACCAGGTCCATGAATAAATTTTAAAATAGCATTCAAACTGTTGGGGAAGGCTTGTAAGTGGATTGACCCTTTGGATTTTCATTGTGTCTCTGAACGTAATGCAGTTGAACCTCAATAAGTTAAACCTCCCAAAGTCAAATACCTCCCTATAAGCCAACTTGCATGAAGTCCCTGTCTGAATCCCCTTGGAAACAATGCATTGAAAACCTTAGTAACTTGAAGCATATTCTCCTTTAAAACCCTCTGTGAGTAAAATTTTCCAAGAACTTTTGACAAATATTTTTTAGCACCAAAGAGAAAAGCAATAAAACAGAACTTGATGTGTTTGAAATTAAGTAAAAGACAAATTGGGCAAATGAACCCCTGCCTCAAGGTTTAGCATCCTGTGAACTCATTTAAGAAGCATTTAAGAAGGCCCAAAATATACCCATTTAAAATTTTGTGGAATCCTATGTTTCTCATAACAAAGATTCTTGGTTTAGTAACTCAAACCTGTATAACTCAAAACCTCCCTAAGTTGAATTATTTTTGCTGGTCCCTGGAAATTCAATTTAGACATGTTTGACTGCATTACATTTTGTATTCAATGTTATCCTTTCCACAGGTGTGATTGTGGAGTTTATTTCAGCTCCAGTCACAGCAGGTTTCATCACAGCAGCAGCCCTTGTCATTATTGTCAGCCAGTTTAAATCATTGCTGGGTCTGAAAGGTGTTCATGGTGAACAACTCTTGGAGCTGGTCCCAGGTGTCTATTCAAAGCTGCCAACTACCAACTATCATGACATGTACATGTCCTTGATTGCCTGTGCAGTCCTGATCTTCATGCAGGTGAATAGGATTCCTCATGGCCATAGAACTATCTGAGGTTTTTAATTAGGCTCAAGATCACCAAACTCAACACTTTTACTTTTTGCTGGCACATAAAATGAGGGTGAGAGTATGAATGTTACAAATTTCCAACATAACAAGTTATTCAGTGTAAAAAAAAAGTGTAATGTAAAAAGTGTCAAGCTCAATGCATTTTCAGTGGGACATTTTTAAAACTCCTGACCTCAATTCTGTTTATAGTCTTTTTTCCAAGTGTCCCTGAATTTTCATGGCAGAGTTTCTCAATGCAATCCTGAAGTTCAATTGAAAAAGGCAGCTGAGCCAATGTGAAAAATAATTAAATATTCCAGCAATTTGGAATTTCACTCATCCAAATTTCTGTCTTACAGGAAATGAAAAGGTTCAACTGGAACTGGTGTATCAAAAATCCAGAAAGGGCATCCAAGTTCCAGCAGGTCACCTTTGTAGTTTCTTCTGCCAGGAATGCTCTGGTTTTGGTGGCCTGTGCCATTGGTGGATACTACTACAATGAGCACATGGGACAAAAAGTCATTTCTCTCACCAGTAAGTAAACTTGGCAGTCATATTGCTTTGCTGAACTTTAAATTTCTAGATATTATGCTGGCTGATTCACTCACAAAAATGTAGGCACTCTTGGCACAAAAATTGTACTAAAAGAAGTTATGTACTTTACTTGCAGAGGCTGTACCTAATGGAGGAATTCCTCCACCAAAAGTACCAGATTTCTGGCTTCCAGCAATGAATGAAACCATTCATGGAGAAATAAAGTTTGCCCCAGAAAGAGGATTATTGGATATTCTCAAGCAAGGTGGTTCTGCTGTTTTCATCATCCCCATAATCTGCCTGGTGGAGCAGGTTGCTGTGTGCAAGTCATTTTGTAAGTTAAAAGTTTGAAAATCATGAGTCAAGCAGGGCTTGTGAATGAACTGAGGATCTCATCATTATATTCCAGCAAAGGCGAAGCCAGTGGATGTGAACCAGGAAATGATTTCCCTGGGGATCAGTCAGTTGGTGGCCAGCTTTTTTCACTCCATGCCAGTTACTGGGTCAATTTGCAGAAGCTGTGTGAATGCTGTATCTGGTGTCAGAACTCCATTTGGTGGTCTGTGGTCAGGTGAGGTTTTTCATTCTCCTCAACTTTTTTTTTCCTTCATATAAAATGCTCTGAATTTTCACCAGCTTGTGTTGTTCTTTCTGCTCTGCTGTTCTTCACACCTTACATGGAACACATTCCTAAGCCTGCCCTTGGAGCCATTGTTGTGTGTGCTGTCATACACATGATTGAGTATGAAGAGATCTGGCATATCATCAAAACCAAGAGTGAGTTTAAAATGCAATTTCTATTTAAAGTTCTGTCTTGATATATGGGGTGCTTTCATTTCTCAGAGAGGGACTTGGTTCCTTTATTCATCACCTTGGGATCATGTTGCACCATTGGACTTGAATGGGGCTTCTTGATTGGAGTTGTGGTCAATCTCTTGATGCTTTTGATCTTTGCTGCTGATCCAAAAGTACCCATCATGAAATTCAAGGTGAGAAATGGTGACTAATTGATAGCTTAAGGAGAATCAAGAGTCTTTTTCAACAAGTGGGCAGTGGCAACAGCATTTTGTTCCTACAATTTCTGACCCTGCATTGCAATATAGGTGGTACCTTGCAATTTGACCTCCCACAAATCAATTGTCCCACAATTTGATGGTCAAATTTCCAGGAAGGTTGATGTGCAATTATACCTCTGCCCCAGAAATCCACCTGCTTTGGCCACATTTTTTTTCATTTTTGTGCTGATTTCTCAAATTTACAAAGTGTCTTGCAATTTGACTGCTTTGCAATTAGACCCTAGTCTGGCAATGGATGGTGGTGAAATTGCAAGGTGCCACGTGTTTTCAAAACCCAATAATATAAAGCTTATTTCCAAATTCTGAAAATCCATGTATTAATATTAATAAGCATTTTCACTTCTCCCTTCAGGATGAATTAAGTACTTTGGCATAGACCTGCAAAGAAAAGCTTACCTCCATTACAAAAAATATATACTGTACATGTGAAATACAATATCATGAAATAATATTTCAGATTCATGAGGACAGAAGAGTGGTGATCCTGAAGCCAGACAGGTCACTGCATTACCCAGGTGTTGAGAAGGTGAGGAACTTGATCAGCAAAAAGACTTGGGATCATGTTGCACCATTGGACTTGAATGGGGCTTCTTGATTGGAGTTGTGGTCAATCTCTTGATGCTTTTGATCTTTGCTGCTGATCCAAAAGTACCCATCATGAAATTCAAGGTGAGAAATTGCGACTAATTGAGAGTTTAAAGAGAATCAAGAGACCTTTTCAACAAGTGGGCAGTGGCAACAGGATATTTTTTCCTAACATTTCTGACCCTGCATTGCAATACAGGTGGTACTTTGCAATTTGACTTCCCACAAATCAATTGTCCCGCAATTTGATGGTGAAATGTCCAGGGAGGTTGATGTGCGATTATACCTCTGCCCCAGAAATTGACCTGCTTTGGCCACTTTTTTGCATTTTTTTGCTGATTTCTCAATTTTACAAAGTGTCTTGCAATTTGACTGCTTTGAAATTTGACCCTAGTCTGGCAATGGATGGTGGGTGAAATTGCAAGGTGCCACCTGTATTCAAAACCCAGTAATATAAAGCTTATTTCCAAATTCTGAAAATCCATGTATTAATATTAATAAGCATTTTCACTTCTCCCTTCAGGATGAATTAAGTACTTTGGCATAGACCTGCAAAGAAAAGCTTACCTCCATTCCAAAAAAATATACTGTAGATGTGAAATACAATATCATGAAATAATATTTCAGATTCATGAGGACAGAAGAGTGGTGATCCTGAAGCCAGACAGGTCACTGCATTACCCAGGTGTTGAGAAGGTGAGGAACTTGATCAGCAAAAAGGCGCAGAAGCACATGGATGCAATGATAATTGTGGACTGTGTGAACCTCATTGACATTGACTTCACTGGAGCCAAAGGCCTGGGATCAGTGGCTGCAGCTCTCAGAGAAAGAAACCAGAAGATGATCTTTGTCAATGTTTGCAGCAACATTGACAGGGCCCTCAAGGGTTTCACTCATGGAGAAGTGGAAACTTATGAAACTGCTCAGGACTGGATTGACACTTGTGAGACCTTTTTCCCTTCCCAGCCCTATTTACCATTTTTTGTGTACTGAACATATTTGCATGTGAAAAGTTTGAGGGGAACATAAATTTAGTATGAACAGCTTGGATTTTTGATGAAATCTTTTGAAACTTTCTCAGAGTACCACTTGAAAAAGGTCCATAAATGGAAGGGAAATTTGCTTGAACAGCATTTACTCATAATGAATGATTTCAATTTGATTTGTTTTGAAAAAAGCTCTTAGAAGGTTGAGGTATGTAGAAACATACTTTTAATGCTATACAATCTTGTTATAACTCTAGAAAAATGTTTGAGATGCTATGGCATGTTGTCTTAACTGGTTGTAAATAAAATACTTGGTTGCATCAAAATAAAACCAAACACTGGATATATAAATGTATATATATATATGCGTATATATTCTTTGGCATTCAATCACAAGCAAGCACAGATATTCAAAACATACTGTACAACACAGTCAAGATATAGTGCGTTGTAGGTAAGTTAAAGAAGACTTGCTAAAATATTGCACATCTTCTTGAGAATTATTGCAAGAGTCTCTGACTCAATTCTCTCTGGAAGATTCTGAGGAAATAATAAGAAAGCAGAAGTATATACGCTTTTGGATATTTAGCTCATGAAATAGTTTTAGAGTTAGGGAAGCATATCCAGGTCTCAAGGCCAGAATACTGTGTTCTTGGGAACAAATGCAAAATATATAATTGAAGAGGAAGAAACTAAACTCAGGAAACAGTAATTACCATCTGTTACTATCAGCAGGAAAAGGAACAGTAATGTGCAGTTGCAAGGAAATGGGTCACGTGCATTAATGTACAATAGCGCAAAAGTTGTCAAACCAAAACAGGAAGAAACAAATATGTGGGAAAGTCTTGTTCCCTTATTTTCTATTTTTTTACCATGTTTTTATGAACTCACTTTCTTGTCTGTCTGTTTGTCCAGATCAAATTTTGAAACTCAAATTTCACTCACTTCCTGACTAGCTATCAAGCTGAAACTTTCAGGATAGCCTAGAAACTGATGACAATGCAATCTTTTGTAGTATAGGATAACAGGCAACATTTTGATTTGTCAGTGGTTCTTCTATTATTTTTCAACTTTTTGAAAATGCTGTCAATATTTCCTCCTGTTCTTTAACTAATTTAAGGGAACCATTTTAATCAATATCTACAGGAACCTAAGCTAATTTTCAATATGACCAGAGAGATAAGGCATATTTTAAGAAGTGAATCTCTGCTTTGGGGGAAAAACCTGAAATTCTGCAGTTACATTGTTATCACAATTGCATTCACATTCAATTGCTTCCAATTTTTTAAATATTTTAATTCATCTTTTTTTTATTGGGTTCTGCCATTTATCACAATAGATTCAAGAATGAAGCTCATCTCAAGTTATAAAAAAACTTTGCCAGAGAGCAAAAGTTGGTTAACCAGGGGGACCCTTGTGCTGAATTCCGCATGATCCTCATAATCTTTCAATTATTAATCCCCAATGGGGTATTTTTTCCTTTCTTGATCTGAAATTATGCCTAAATTAATTATTGGAAGATGAAAAATCATGCAGCAATATTGGTTTAAGGGAAATTTTTACAGAGACAGCAAATGTTTGACACCCAGAAAACGTTGTTGGCAGGGGGACCCGTGCACTGAGTTTCGCATGACCTATTTATTTTTTATTTTTTGCAGTGGCTGACGTGAACGACAAGAGGATCATGGTCAGGTCACTCTCGTCCCTCAACGACTGCGACACGCACCACAACAAACACAGGTACCCGGAAAAGATGGACGACGTGGAAGAGCACCAGGAGGAAATCATGGACCGCAGCAACGGCTACTACAACAACACCGGCACCAACGGGCTCGAGCGGTACCTTCCCTCTGGTCCCATGCCGGTGCAGATCACGGTCCCGCGCGTCACCGTGGCCAAGAACCATTGCGGCAACTGCGGCGCCAAGGTCGTGGACGCCAATGGCAGCGGCGCCAGTCCGAAGGCGGCACACATCAACAAAACGAGCTACAAGATCCGCATGTGATCTTAATCAATGCGGAGAGGGAGAATAAAAGGGCGGCAAAACGGAAGGAACGAACGGGCACCCGGGCAGAAGTAGCGACATCTGCTCGAGCTCTCAGATGTCAAGTCCACGCTATCCAATATAGATGACACTAAATTCAAGAGCCTTTCATCCATCCTTCGATTGCGAGACCGACTTCCAATAATTCAATAAACTCGAATTTCTTATCAAGAACGTTGCGACATTATTTAAAACAAAAAATCCTCGGAAACGTTGAAGAGCAGCCTCTTACATTTCCTGCCGAGCGACATCTAGTCAAAATTTAATCGAATTTACGCAGCGTACAGTTACAAGAGCTCTCGTAAGATGTCTTAAAATGCGCGTCCATGCAAGTGTTGCCTCGTTACCGGTCATTTTTCTTTCGCCGCTTTCTCTTTCACATTAGGCTTTCGAATATCGGAAATCGATGCCACTTTCCGTTCGGATGAGGAAGATTTGAAATCAGTTTATGAAGGGCGAAACGTGAAAAGAGTTTTCGGGATTTCAAAGATTTCGACAGCGTTCGCACCCGATGTTGCTGAGGGCGACATCTTCCTTTCGCTGCTTTGGGCTTGAGATACTGTACTTGAGTGCTTTGCGGGTGTTAAATCTGTCAAGGAACCCCGTTTCATTTTCTCCAATGCGGGATTCCCATTATTTTTTTCAGTCAAATTCTTTTTTTTTTCAGATGTGTAAATATGATGACAGGTTTTCTTTTTTTTAAGAATTGAGAGGATTTTGTGGTGCAATAAATGGAAAATTATTTACATGCACATTGAAGCCTTTTTATTCCTTTTCTGAATTGATTTTCTTTTTATTTCATGCTTGGAGTTTTCAAATTCATTCTGTAAAACTATCGGAGAAACGATTTCATGTTGCATGTAAGAATTTCATGTTGAGAATTCATTTTGTATATAAATTGTAGTACAACCAAATAATGTCAAGAATTTAAAGGAAGCGTGAATAAACAACCACTTCTGAGGCAGTCTCATTAAAAGTTGTTTGCTCTCAAAAAAGTTAGCAAAAAAAAGATATCAACGCAAATCTATATTATTTCATATATAGTGTTGAATCTCTTTCAGTGACTTTTTGACCAAAATCTTCTGTTCAACAAAATAAGTTTAAACTTACAGTAATTTTAATTACAGTAATATATGTAGTAAATAAGATTTTAAAATTATCATTCTGGGAAATTCAACTTCAAAATTGTTTTCAGGATAACACACTTAGTTATGAAAAAAACCAACTCACATCCCACTTCTCAAGAAACCTAGAAAACTTTGTAATGATCACAAAATGGCAGCATGGATGCTTGTGACAATGAGTGAGATTTTCTTCAAAGCCGCAGATTCAAAGTCTTTTTGGAATCAAATTATGGCCTTTTAAATCATCGCCCACTAGACTGAAAAATGTGAAAACATCTTTTTTTTAAGTTGACAACAGCAAAACCCAAATTCTTCAATCCTAATACTGTTGTGTGGCAGTTTTCAGAAATGTCTACCATTCAGTCCCTGGGTAAATTGTCAGTTTTCATTGTTGAGTCTGCATGGAATCCAGATGAATTCATCATAATCCAAAAATAGCTGCCAGTCACATCAAATCCTCATTTCAGGAGACACTAATGATGTTGAATGCAACAACTGCTAGTGTCAATGATTTTTTCATATAATAAATTGATAAATTATATGTTGAAGAGTATAGAAGCAATTAAAATTACTGACCTTTCAATTGCTTTTCAATTGAATCAAGCCTTTTAAGTAATGTTGCTTATAATGGATCCAATATTTTTCACAAGTGACTCAAGAAAGAGGCTCACATCATAAACTGGAATTTTTTAAATCATTTGTATCTGTTAATAACACACACCCTTCCTTAATTTTGAAAGTAGGGTGCATATGATTTGCAAGTACAGTCAAACCTTGCTTAACATTTTTAGTTGGTGCAGCAGGAAAAAACATTAGCTGAAAAAAAAAGTTAAGCAAGGTAGTCTCTCCCTTAAGATATAACTGAGAAACGTTTAATTGGTGTCAGGCAAAATTTTCTAAAGGTAAAATTCAGAAAAAAAATTAATCAGAGAGTGTATTCCAACAACTGAGCTTTATGCACTGCCATTACATTCAAGAAGTAACCACAGTTCTTCACGCAATTAAAATCAGAGATTCATTTTAAACAAGGAAAGGTCCGAGTGTTACCCAAAATTCAGTGTGTGACACTGCAATTGTTCATAAAATAATTGTAACACCACACCACCACACAGGAAACACATTTAAAGCTGTGGAAAAAGTCACATTCAAGAAAATGTACTGGAGGGAGGGAGGAAGGCATCCACATTGATCACCTGGTAATGCACAACTGTGGAACTTTAAGCGGATTTTGGAACATTAAGCGAGGGGATTTTTCTCACAGGACCGGGAACATTAAGCAAGAAAATGTTCAGCAAACAGAATGTTAACCAAGGGTTGACTGTACAGTGCAATATTAAACTGAGTATGCTGTGCACTTTATCCTTGAAAAATCAAAAGCAAACAGTGGTGTGCACATCATGATTGGGTACAAACTTTCCCAAGTATTTTTCCAAAATCATTCTGCAGGTCACAGTTTGGATGAACTATAAAAAAGATGAATAAATTAAATTAAATTTCCCTTTCCATTCAGTATAAAGTGATAATGCAACAAGTTGTAATGCTCATATACTTATGAGCATCATATATGCTTTAATACTTTTTCAATGAAAACTGGGGCGTGGATCTCATGAAGAAATAATTTTGTGCAGGTGGAACCTTGCAATTTGATGTCCTAAAATTTAACCATCCTGCAATAATTCAGCAGTCAAATTTTCTGGGAAATTGACTTGCAATTTGACCTGCAGACAGATTCAAAATTTCAAATTCAACATAGAAAACATCAAATTTGACATTGTTTCACTATTGGACTGCTTTTCAATTCAACTCTTACCCAGCAACAGATTAGGGTCAAATTGCAAGGCACCACCTGCACATTATTTTGTTGCTAAAAAATATGGTGTTATGCCAGCATGTTTTATTACTCAAGAGAATTATGTGGTAATTTTTTAAAATGTTCCTGATACAATTTTCAACCAGGGTTTGACCAAATATTCTGGTTTTCTGTTGCCAAGTGCAGGATATTCAGTGATTTATAATTTGAACACCAAGTGGATGAGTCTTTTATAACTTATTCATGATCTCCTTTTGAGTTAAGAAGCAATACTTTGAACTTTCCATTGTCCAGATTCTTTAGAAATATTTCGATTTTCAAATTCAGTCCCACAAAAATTAATCTCTTTTCCAACCAAATTTCTCTCAAAATGCTTTCAAGACAAACATAAAGAAAAACAACAACTGAGAAAAAATGCATCTCCTTTTACATTTATTGTCAAGCAGGAAGCAGAAGCTTATTATTGACTCAAGTCATGCCCTAAACAAAAGGGCAGGTTTTCCAAATCTGGTTTTCCCCTACATGATTTCGTTTTTCCTTTCCCGTTTGTTTTTCTCCTGCAAAAGGCAGGTAAGAGTTTCGACCTCCGAAGTGGGCAAGAAAAGAAGTCATATGACGCAAGGTTATACTTTGTTTTTTATTTCATTTTTTCAGATAAAGAAGGTGAGAATAAGAAAGAAGCATTTGCTCTTTGGATCCTGACAAAGAAGCATCAGTTATACTCGGATATGCTTCTGTGATCAGTGATTTGACATTCAACTGAATTTCTGAGAAATTAAATCGAGTCTTGTGGGTTTTATTACGTGATAATAAATTCAGAACAAGTTTCTTTTTTTTTGTGTTGGTAATGGGATGATTATACTTTTTGAAGCAGTTTATTCTGGGAAGCATATTTTAGCTACAAATTAAGACCACTTTTCAACCAAATTTTTACTGTAGCAGTCCTTAAAAAGTGGAGAAAACATTTTGAAAGCAAATTTATAAAATCACATTAACTCATATGGAAATGGACTTGACTAATTAAGAACTAAACAAAGCATGACTGGGTTTATTCCAAAGTGAATTTATTTTTCTAGCAACATTTAAAAAATTTAATTTTATCAAGAACAACTTGGAAAACAAATGAATCAGATGAATTGATTGCCAAGTAATTTTTCTCATCTGCCCTTTGACATTTTTATTGACACCATGTTCCAAAGCTAACCACTATTATTCATATTCAATTGACTATAATTTGTTTTCTTTGTTCTGCTGAAAAAAAAGGTTTTATCTAATCTGTGGTTTGAATGTAAACCAATTACATTTTGAGAATTATTGAAATTAAATGGGTATAAACAGGCAGCATTGATTCAGTTCTTTAAAACTTGTATTATTTTGGTGAATTGAATATATAGCAAGAATGGTTTTTATATGTGAATGAATACATGTGCTTTTCAATTTTTTGAAATCTGCGGTTTGGTGCTGACTTGCATGAACCTTTGGAAATAAATGGACCGTCGGAAATTATCCCAAAATCCTCAGATTTTCGAATACAAAAAAGCTAATTATTCATTATTAAAATTTTACAGGTTATATTATAATGCATAATTATAGCATTTTGAGATTAATCATGATTTTAAAAAATCAGTTTTTAAGTTTGAGAAAACGCTTTTGTCCTATACGTTTTTATTCAAAGTCGCATTTGTGGTGTCAATTCTATGAAAATATTTTAAATTATAAATTTATCGTGTTGTTACTCAATTTCAAACCAATGGGACATTTATTTCCGGTGAATGCGAAATTGATCAATAATCAATAATTTGTGCACGTCTTCATCAGTTATTAAAGTGACTTGCGTCTGAAATTTGTTCCTTGTCAATGTCGAAGTGATCAACCCTTATTCGAAATTGGCATGTTTACAAAAATTATATTTTTCGCAGGAATTTTTAATCTAGACGTGAGTCGTTTATTTTTTTATTTTTGGTGAATATGTGTTGAGGTTGTCTTTTTTATTTTCTCAATATAGCAAGACATGGGTGAGTTATTGGCAAATTGATTCTATGTTTTGAGTTTGGAAAACAAATTAATATATATTTTTTTCCTGCAGGTTTCATTCAGAGAA